CTAGACCAGCCAGGCCCAGTTCCTGCAACTGTTCATCGTATGTTTGAGCCTCCGGAGACCCCTAATCATCCTGGTTGCTCTTCTCTGCACTTTTTCTAGAGTTCTGTCTCACTTTTCTTCTTTCCCAAAAGATGAAAGAATACAAACTCACACAAACACAGGCAGGCAAGCTGGCTCTGACTTCACAGAGTTAATTCTTTGGAACTGATAATATCCTTGGCATTCCAACACGCTCTGCCTGCCAAGTCTGAACTGATAACAAATAAAAATCTACTCACAGAAAATTACAAGGCAGTCCACAAAAATCATTCACCAAGAAAACCTGAAGTAAGATTAAACTTTGTCCCGTACAAAGTTCCAGCCGAAGACACACCCACTTTTATCCCCTGTGGGGTGTGGCTCAATGACTCAGCTCACTCTCTGACCCTCCCACGCCTCCTGCGTTGCTGCTCACGCTTCTCCCTACGACGCTGCTTAGGATCAAGCCAACACTCTTCCTCTTGACTCCCTGTCAGGGGCTGCTCCGATTTGCCCTCCTCCTCCTGATTAATCTCAGGCTGTTCCTCTTGGTTGGCTGATGGAACCTGAGGCATTATCAGGGAGGAAGGCACTGCCAGAGAGGAAGGTCCTGGGGATGAAGGCATTCCCAGTTCCTCCTCCTCATCTTCCAGGTCTTCTTCCTCTGACAGCACAGGCTCGGGAATCGAGGCCACAACACTCCACATCTTTTTTACACCACGGTGACCAAACCTGGATGTAGTATTTCCAAGGGTGGCCTTACCAAGGCCTTATAAAGTGGTATTAACTCTTCACATGATCTTGATTCTATCTGATGCAGCCTAGAACTATGTGGCTTTTTTGGCTGCCGCTGCACACGGCTGGCTCATATTTAAATGGTTGTCCACTGGGACTCCAAGATCCCTCTCACAGTTACTGCCATTGATCAAGGTACCACATATACTGTACCTGTGAATTTCGTTTTTTCTTGCCTAAATACAGAACCTTACACTTTTCACCGTTGACATTCAGCTATTGGATTTTGTGCTTGTGATGGGAAAAAAAATGGAACGGTTGATTTTGGTTTTGCAGATTGGCTAAGTATATAGTCTTCAACCTTCAATAGTTCATTTAGTGACCATTCGAAGTTACAACAGCATTGAAAAAAGTAACTTATGGGTTTTTTTTTCACCCTTGTGACTGTGACAGGTATCCCCATGATCACAATTCATACAAAATTCTTCAACTGACTCATATTTATGATGGCTGCGGTGTCCCAGGGCCACAGGATCCCCTTTTGTGACCTTCTGACAAGCAAAGTCAATGAGGAAGCCGGATTCACTTAACAACCATATCACTGACTTAACAAGTGCAGGGATTCGCTTAGCAACTGTGGCAAGAATGGTCACAAAATGGGAGAAAACTCACTTAACAACTGTCTCTCTCAGCAACAGAAATCAACACATTTTTTTTCTTTTCTATCCCACACTTTCTCCTCTTCCTCTTTTCCTCCCCTAGGTTCCAATTATTTTCATTTTCTTTGTATTTTATATTCCGATGAACGAATACAACTTTAATCGTGGAGAAGAAAGACCCGGGGCGGGTTGGACTAGAAGACCTACAGGGTCCCTTCCAACTGTGCTATTCTGCATTCCGATATTCCTTTATTTCGTTATAGCAGTGCAACCAATCAGTGAAACCAGCGAGCGTTGGTTCTCCTGAGAGCCTGGGACTCATATTCTCACCCTCCCCTCCTTTTGAGGCTTACTGGCTTTGTAGTCCGTGCTGCTTTGCACGGTCAGGAGCGGAATGGTTGTGCTGGCCAGCCACGTTGATCTCCAAGGGGTGTCCGTCCCGTTTTCCAGCACCGTCTTGTTCTGGGTGACCCCATCTTGAAATTCCTGCAGAGACCCCTTGAAGCCTTCGTTGGGATCATGTTCCACCCCTTGGAAGGCTGGAAAAATAAAAATTACAAAAACATTTCAAGGTATTGTGGGAAGTACACCCCCAAAAGGATAGCGCCGGAATCCTCAGAAAACAGTGCCAAGAGACTCAAGCTAGCCCTACTCCCAGTGGTGCAATGCAACCAGTGAAACAATTGGTTTGGTGAGCGCATGATTTGCACACCCAGCATTTAGAAAAGACCATTTTTAGCTGTGATACTTGCCTTCTGCTGCGGCCCCAGTGAGTAAAACAGCTGATGCGTGGCAAACGGTTCTGCCGCGTGAATCAGCTGTGCTCAAAAACAAGGAAATAAAGCACAAGGGGCGAGGGGGCGGGGCCAAATGATCACTGGAACTGCCGGTTCGCCCGAACTGGTCCAAACTGGTAGAATCTCACCCTTACCTTTCCCCTTTAAGGAAATTAAGAAGCACCAGCTGAAAGTTAAACTCAGAGCAGCCCTGCTAATGGCCCTTACAAAAGGTAACAGACCTGACCACAGAAACACTAAGTAGAGCCATTCAGATAACGGGAATCAGGCTAAAAATAAATTCTCCAAGGTAAACCAAAACTCCCTTTTTCCTGCCTCTGACAGGGTTAAACCCCAAGGACAGGAAAACAAAAGACCCGGGACCAAGTAAACCAGTAAAACCCAGTATTAATCCAGTAGAAACAAAACCCAGGGCATTCAGAAGCCCATCAAAACCCATCAAGCTGCAGGATTCCTTCAAAGGGGAATTAAAGCATAAAAGGCTCCGATTCACACTTCCAAGCTGCTTGCAAGCCAGGAAGCTGTGTCACTTTTTGCTTCGTGCCTTCTTCCTACATTAAAAGAATCCCACTTTCTGGCAGCTGGCTTCTGCATCCATTTCTTCTCAACGTCTGTGATGTGTGTCCTGGCTGGGAACAAACCGGGGACATTTCTTTCAACAGTATATTGAAGACAGCGGTGGTATTCTACCAGTTTGGACTGGTTCAGGTGAACCAGTAGTAAAAATGCTGCCGTTCGGCGAAGTGGTACTTCTCCCCGCCTCCCCCAACAATCAGCTGTTCCAACGATCAGCTGTTCTGGGTTCCCATTCGCTGTCTTCACCCAGGAGGCATCCCCGAGGCCCAGGAGGCAAAAAAAACCCGGAGCATGGGGGTTGCTGCAAAAAAGCCACGCCCACACAGTCCTAGGGGCCCACCCAGCCACTCCCACCTAGCCACGCCCACAGAACAGGTAGTAAAAATATTTGCATTCCATCCCTGATTGAAGATCTTCAAGGAACAGAATGATCTCCCCTCCAATTTTTAATAATCTTATTTTTCAGAGGTCTTGATTGTGTTCCAGCGTTGTAAAAACAGTCCTGCTGAAATCTCACACATCCAGATCAACAAAGCCATACTAACCCATGCTGCTGTTTAGCCAACATTTAATAAACCAGCCAGGACTGTTTGTATAGCCAGCCCTGGCTGATAAACCATGTCATCTGTTCCTAATCACATGTCCCAAATGTTGCATTTTTAAACAAAGCCTGCTCCCTCTCCACCTCAAGATACAGGATTTTTCTCCCAAGCACCACAATTAATAATAAATAAAATAGAATACTGAATTAAATAATTAAAATTAAATTGGGGAAAAGGACCATGCAGGCGCCAGGCAAAATGGCTATAGAAATACTGATACCCCCAAGAATGACCCCTTTTCTGCAACCAGGCCTGCAATTCCCACTCCCACTTTGACACACAAACAGGGTTGTGGGAGAAAAATGCCACCCTACCATTCTGAAGATGGCAGTGCCTGTGTAGTTTGAATGCCCAGCGTTAATCCCCTGTTCCAAAGAGTTTGGAACTCAGTTACAAACAGTTAGAGCCTCCGATTATTATAGCTGATCGCAGGTAGTCCTCGACTTACGACCGTAATTGAGCCTGGAATTATAATTGTAAATCATGTCAGTGGTTAATTGAGTCACCACAATGGACTGCACCAGATTATTTTACAATCCTTTTTTGTGGTGGTCATTAAGAAGATGCTGCAGTCATTAAGTGGATCGTTTTAGCCTAATGAATGTTTTTTTTTGTTGGAAAATGGAAGTAAACACTGGTTGCCCGGAAAAAAAAATCATAAATTACAGTCTTGTTATTGCAGTCCTGTTATTTAGCGACTGACCATAAATGCAGGCCAGTTGCTAAACACCCAAAATATGATCACATGGCCATTGGAATACATGTGTGCGTTATAAGTTCAAAACTGGTCATAAATTGCTCCATTATGGCTGGAAGCCGAGGACTGTTAATTAGTTTTCTCACACATGGCAAAGAACTGAAGCAGAAGATTTTGGTAGTCCTTGATACAGATAATCAGAGTTGGAAGGGACCTTGTGGGTCATCTTGTCCAACCCCACCACCCAAGCAGGTGACCCTACACTGTTTCTGACAAATGGCAGTCCAATCTCTTCTTCAAAGTCCTTCGATCCTTCCAGTGGCAACCAAAAAAGACCCAGCCAATCAGCTGGGACTCAATGGGAGGCAGAGAAGAGATGGGGTTGGTGGAGCCAGTCAGAGGTGGGATTAGTTCTCCAAACTACTCAAAATTTCCACTACTGGTTCTCCAGAACTGGTCAGAACCTGCTGAAGACCACTTCTGAACCTCTCCAAAAGAAGAATTCTGCAGAATCTCTAAAAAGGACAAGCATCCCAGAGGTGGTATTCAGCCGGTTCTCACCGGTTTTACAGAACCGGTAGCAAAAATTTTGAGTAGTTCGGAAAACCGTCCAATCCCACCTCTGACTGGCCCCGCCAACCCCATCTTCTATTCTCCGCCTCCCATGGAGTCCCAGCTGATCGGCTGGATCTCCTTTGGTTGCCCTGCACAGGAGAACGGAGCTGGAAAGCAGGTTAGGCGGGTGGGGAGGGAAGGGGGATTTGGCAGTATATCCTTCCCCTGCCACGCCCGCCGAGCCACGCCCACAGAACCAGCAGTAAAAAATGTTGAATCCCACCACTGAAGCAGCCGTGCGGGCCCTGCCGCGCTCTGACAACTTGCTAATCTCAGTTATTAAACTGACTCATTTCCTGAGCGTTCAGTGAACCCTAAACCAACCAACCAACCTGGATTTGCACACCTGGCTTGGCTCTCCCCGCCCCCCCAAAAAGGGAGGAAATCACCTTCATTCTAACCAAACTGAGCATGTGATGGAAATTCAGCTGCTGGCTCTTTCACATAAACAAAGCCAATTACATGAATCCAGCTCTTAAATTCCTATTTTTCTCCTTTTGTGGGGCTCACTCTGATTTTCCTTTCCTTTCTATTTTTTTATAAAGCTCTTTTGTGAGCTGACGGGGAAATTTGGAGGGAACGGAAAGTGTTGGTGTGGTTAGTTCAGTTTCAAATGGCTTGTGATAAGTTCTTTAGTCACCCTAAAAAGTGGGCTTTGCTTTACCTAATCATCCTCATTTTTCTGGAAATGACTCCTCGGACTGACACAATTCTGTGCTGTTCGGAGGTTTTCCTTTTGGTTTTTAATGCCCCTCCCCGGACCCCTTCCTCTCTTCAAGTTCCCCTTGGATAGGGGAAGGGAAGCCGAGAGGACTCCCAAGGTCTCCTCCTGCCAACCTCGCCCCAACGGGTTTGTCCTGTTTCTTCTTCTGCCCAGAATTTAGGAAAGAGAAACGTGGCTCTTCTCTACCCAGAAATTGTTCTGACCTGAGAACTCACCTGCAGGACGAATGAGAGCCAGGATCCAAAACTGCCACATGTCTCTGTCTGGTTTTTCTCGACCAGGAGCTCCAGTGGGACAGAAGGAACCCAGAAGGTTCCTCTTTCAGGCTGGCTTCACTTCCTCTTCGCAGGAGGAAGTCAAGAAGATCTGAAGAAATCGCTGGGTGATTAAGACGAAGTTGTACAAGGCATGTCTCTTCTTGCACGTTTGTGTTTAAGGAGAACGGCTCAGGCACCCAGATGCATCCAGGCTGAGCTTCCATCGCTGAACCCGAGAACTGCTCTTTCAGCGGCCCCGAGTGCTTCCTCACTCCACCCAACTGGCCATTTCCCCGAGGGTTCTCCCCATCTTCTAAACCAGGGCACTCCAACCCTGACTTTGGACTTCAACTCCCAGAATGCCTCAGCCAGCCAATGCTGAGTTGAAGTTGAATTCTGGGAGTTGAAGTCTATAAACCTTCTCACGCTCTTAACTTTGGAAGAAAAAGGTGGAAAGGGGGGCATAATCTTGGAAGGATTATGAAAACCCCTCCCCTGCTGGCAGTTTCCTTTGTGGAGAAGAACGTGGGGGGAGGGGGGTTGTCCAAAGACCAGGAGGTGGTCCTTCTCCTGTTTCTCTTTCTCCTTCTCCTCTTCCTCCTCCTCGCTCCCTCAAGGGAAGGAGAAACAAGAAAGAGGAAAGCGAAAACACATGCAAAACGAGAGGAAGGGGAAGCTGTGCAGGTGGGCCTGTGATTCTTTGACTTTGGATGGAGGCAGCTGGATAAGAACTGCTGACCCACTCGGTCAAGTTTGTTAGATACTCAGCTCTCTCTCTCTCTCACACACACACACACCTTACAAAGGCTTAAAAAAAGCAGAATTCGACAGCAAGAGCCAAACACGGAGTCCCTGCAGCTCAGGGTCAGTTTTTTGAAAGAAGGCTTCTCAAGCTTTAAGATGGGTGGACTTCCACTCCCAGCATTCCCCAGCCAGCCTGCTTGACCCTAATGACCCCAATGCTTCTCAACCCCACCACAAACCCGCCCCCAGGCCTCCTCCCGCAGCCACCCTCCCTTCCAACCAAGCCCCAGCCTTCAACTGTCCTCCTTCCCCTGAAATGTTCATAGACCCATAGAATTGGGAGGACTTTGGAGGTCATCTTTGGAGGGTGTCAACCTTCAAGATCTTCTACTATTGCTTTGCATCGTTCGGCTGCCATAAGTAACGAGGGGGGAGGAGGGGGGAAAAGTCGGGGAAGCGAGCTGGAGGTGTTACAATCTAGTGTTGTACAAAATGAGGAGGGGGGAGAGTACATTCTCGCTTAGGTTTCTTTCCTCTGCGCAACTGCAAACTTTTATCAAAGTGCGCCAAGGTCAACGGACAGAAGCCTCATCACCACCTGAAGGTGTCCACATGATCATATTCACAACTTGTAATTGGAAGAATCATCTGACCTATTGGGGGTGGGAACATTTCCATCACAGATTCAGAATTATTTTGTTGCTACCACTTCATTTCCAGTAAAAGATATCTTTTCTCTAATTAAAAGAGTCTAAGTATTTCTTTCTTGGATTTTGAATGGAGCACGGCCTGACAGAGGGCTTCCGTCAGCATTTCTCTGTAGTGCTTGCTCCCATTTCCCTGTTTCTCCGAATATTGTGACTTGAGGTTCCCCCCGCTCCCCCAGTTGTGCACATAGAATCCTAGGGTTGGAAGGGGCCTTGGGTCACCAACCTTTCAGGGCTCAGGGGTCACTAAATTCATAATTTTAAATCCCACGGACCACTAATATTGGACACGGTGGCTCCATGGCTAAGGCACCGAGCTTGTCGGTCAGAAAGGTCGGCAGTGCGGCGGTTCGAATCCCTAGCGCCGCAGGACAGAGTGAGCTCCCGTTCCTTGTCCCAGCAGCTTCTGCCAACCCAGCAGTTCCAAAGCACGTAAACAGGCTAGTAGAAAAATAAGGAGCCCTTTGGTGGGAAGAAGGTCACAGCGTTCCGTACACCTTTGGCGTTTAGTCACGCTGGCTACGTGACCGCGGAGACGGTGGTCTTCGGCTTTGTCACGGAGAGGAGCGCTGCCCCCTAGAGCCGGAAGCGACTGGCACGGATGTGCGAGGGGAAGCTTTCCCTAATGACTGGCTGGGTGAGCATGGGTAGGCGGTCATGTGACTGGGTGGGTGTGGCCAACTCGATGTCACTCATGTCAAGGGGCGTTTCACCAGACTCTATTTGCCTCTCCCTTTCGAGCCACTCCTCCCCTCCCCACCTGGGCTCCGTAGGGCCCCCCAACAGGAAGCAGTTGTTGGAGTGAAGCAGCCTTTGCGGAGAAGAACGTGGGGGGGGGGTCCAAAGACCAGGAGGTGGTCCTTCTCCTCTTTCAAAACAGCTGGCTCGGTTCAAACTGGATCCGACCGAGAAGGAGGCTCAGCAGAAGCGCCTCACTGAGGACTACGAGCATGGGCTTTCCAAGCAGAAGGAAGACCTGCAGGAGTGCAGGGTGAGGTCACGGCGCCTGGAGGCTCAGCGGGCTGAGATGGTCGGCCAGTGCCAGGCCCTGATGCAGTCCCACTGGAACGCGGCCCTCCGGCTCTTCGCCATCACCGGCCCTTCCCTCTGCCCTGCCCCAGGAGGCTGAAGCAGACCCCAAGTCAGAATTTCTGCCCCACACCCTCTGCCCCACACCAAAAGAAACTCTCTGCTGCAACACAAACGTTCATTGCACGTATCCGGCTCCAGGGGGCGTAGTTTGAGGCCACCGGATTGAATGCAATATTAAAAAATGCCAATCATTTTTCTGCGGACCATCAAAATTTTCTCACAGACCACCAGTTGGTGACCGCTGTTCTAGTCCAACCCCTTCCAACAGAAGACCTTACACCATTCAGACCAATGGTGGTCCAATCTCTGCTTGAAAAACTCCGGTGTTGGAGCACCCATGCCAAGGATTGATTGTCCGTCAGGAAATTTCTCTTTAGTTCCAGCTTGGATCTCTCCTGGATAAGTTTCCATGTGTTACGTCTCGCCCTGCCTTCAGGTGCTTTGGAGAATAGGTGGACCCCCTACTTTTTTTGATATTGGAAGACATATCCTGTCACCCCCTAATTCTTCTCTTTATTAAACTAGACTGTTGTGGTTTGCCGGCAGCAGGTGCGGACGGCTGAGGTCTCGGAGAGCGAGGACTCGGAGGAGGGGCCTGCATTTGAGGCAGGGATGGGGCCAGGACCATCAGGGAGTGGAGTGCTGCCTCCGGAGATTGTGGAGGCTGGCAGCAGTGAGGAAGAGCACCCCGAGGAGCCTGTGCCCAGGGTGCGTGCACGCAGGGCTGCTCAAAGCAAAGAGCAGCTGCAGCAGCACAGGTGACTCAGAAGTAAGGCTGCAAGGTGATGGCCTCTTCCTTAAGGGATAAAAGCCAGCTGAGAAACCGGAGTTCTTTGCAGGAAGCAAAGAAGTTTTTGCGCTCAGGCCTTGTGGACATGAGAATACCTGAATTGGTGTTTGGAGATTCTTTGATTTATTCTTTAGGAAATTTATCTGTTGTTCTTGGCAGCCTTGCAAAACCTTGGCAAGGCTCTTTCTTGTCAGAGCTAATTAGTTGGAAGCAGCTTTTTATCTGTGAAGGAACAAGGTTCGTAAATGAAACAGTAAACGGTTATGCTGTTACCTTTGTCTTGTGTTTACTCGCTTGGAACCACAACCATTTCCTACAACCATTCTTCATACGTTTTAGCCTACAGCCTCCGAATCATCTTTGCCGCTCTTCTCTGCCCTCTTTCCAGGGTTTCAACATCTCTTTTTTATCAGGGTAACCAGAATTGGACACCAATTCCACATGTTTCCTGACCAGTGCGGTATAAAGTGATACTGGCACTTCTCATTAATGCAGCCACAATTGCATTGGCTGGTTTGGCAGCTGCAGCACACAGCTAGCTCATATTTAAGTCGACAGGACATTTATTTCTCTACTTGATATTAAAAATCTCCAACATTTCATACCATATATATATATAAATATTAGGCTGCCCATTTATCTTTTTTTTTAAAAGCACTTTTTTTTACACAAAATATCTACCAAGACAAGCTTCTATAAATCTTCCAGACATTATTTCACAAAATTACACATTTTACAGGTGTAGGTCCTTGATTTACGACTGTGATGGAGCCTGCCCATCTTCGTTGTAATTTGTGACAATTCTAAAATAGCCCACCCATGTGACTGACGTGCTCTTGTGACTGACGTGCTCTTGTGACCTTTTTGTGACCCTAACCCTGACCCTAACCCTAACCTCATGATCATAACAGAGCTTAACCTAGCCGGTCATAAGTCAAGGCTGGTCATAAGTCGAGGATTATCTGTACACAGGTTTTCCCACTTAAT